TTCTTGTAAAAATCAGCTGGACGGGAGGCAACAAACTCTTCAAAGGCATTTTGTACTGCCTCTCGGGAATTGAATTTTTTACCCACTAAAAAGTTGTCTAAATTTTGGAAAAAGTAATAGTCGGTAGGTGCAAGGTCTGGTGGTCTGGTGGGTGGTCAAGGCTAAATTTTTGGGTCTGATTCATAATAGATCGCTAAATTGCCAAAAAGTGAAGATGTTTTTTGTTTGTTGTATGGGCTCAAATTCAGTGTTTTTTCAATCACTTGTAATTTAAGCAATTTCTTTACATATAGTAACATTTTTATTCATGTGTATTTATAGTATAGTTATCAAAGAATAAATCTTCAAAATTTTATAATTATAACTTAAATAATAAGCATTTTATTAGAAAAATAAGCTGGAACGTAAGAATCTAGAATCTTTAAACGCGATTTCCCAGAAAGCGGTTATAGCTATTGGCGGTTTCACGTGATGGTTTTGCTACGCGTCATCATTTAGGCAAAGCGGCAGTATATGTTCTTTTTCTGACTTCAATAAGTGCTTCCCGGTCACAACTACATTAGAAAGAAACCTGCCTTCGGTCGCTAGGTCCCCTGTTATCACTGCAGCAGTGACTCGACCCTACAAACGTTAGCGGTTTGCCCACCTAGAAAGATGCAGCTTTGTGACCGTTTCATTTATGTTTCTAAAGTCCCCCGCGACACAGGATTTATTCCTAGTGTGGGAGTTGTCTTTAAAAAAAAAGTAAGTACAATAATAATATTTTCGGACATTTGATACACCAAAGCTAGATTGATTTATAGAATACGTAAATACTTTTTTTTTGTAAACATATACGTATTATACATAAAACACCTAAACTCCGAAACAAATATTTGCAGATCATACAAACATTTGGTCCGACCCGGAAATCGAACCCGACACCTCAGAACAGCAAGCGCATACCACTACGCCACCGAGGCAGTCAATGATAGTATTTATTTTCGAACTTCCAAAATAGTATTATCGTGTTGTATTTTTCCTTTTTAACCATTACTTCTCCTCTCCTTCCACCTTTCTAATCGTGGGAGAGCCATGCTTCGGCACAATTGGGCGGGCTCTACCGGATTAAAACCTCGGCCTCACAGAAAACGGTTTTAGGCAATTCTTTTGTTCCTTTTCATTGAGTCAGTGAGTTTACAACAAACATCCTCCCCAGATTCTTGAGGGAAGATTTTGAGGTGATCCGTCTCCTCTTATACAGTGTACATTTTTTTCTATGTACTTACTTTTACGTTAAACTGATAAATTTCTAAAGGGCCTATCACAGTTTCCAAACCTAACTACTTTCGAACTTATCAACCACGGAAACAGTGATGTGCAGGCTGACACATACATATTTTACACAGTAGATTACCAAGTATTACCAGAGGCTATAAGGTTAAAACACTTGTCACAACATTAAGCATTCTGATAGCCTAAAATTAAATACACTTTACGAGTTGACAACTTAGACAGGCACCAACAAAGACCCAGAGTAGTAGATATCAATCATATGCTTAAGCCACAACCTTGATTACTGACATTTGGAATTAGGAGATAGAAATGTAAGGCCCCAATGTTATTTATTAGTTTACTCGTCATTCCATCAGTGACTTTTTTGTTGATTTTTTAATAATCCACAATATGCTTGGTTCAGTGTGTTGCAGTTTTTTAAGGTAGGTAGTTATATTTTCGGTAAGGTCGTATGTCGGTTTTGAACGTGTTATACCCTGCGTATATTGTCTGAAACATCGTTTCTGTTTGTGTGTTTTTTTTTCGCGGCAGGAGTTAGTGAGGGTGCGGGACTTACGTTTTCATGTTGTTGCTTCAAACAATATCGTAGTTTCACGGGAGCAGACAAGCACAGTGTGGCTAAAACTAACTCAATTACCCATATAACCAATACTTATTAGTTATTACCCATATCAATACTTTACAGTAGGTATTTAATAATATTTTTTTGCCATTGGTGGGAATCGAATCCACAATCTCTGGCTCAGCAGTCAAGGTCACTAATCACTAAACCAAGAGTCATTTAATCATAACATGTTATCCTTTAAAATACATTTCTAAAATAGAATTATAAAACTTATAAAATACTTAATTTAGAGTTGGAAGTTTCGTTAGTTTAAAATAATATATTCAAAATTATGCGAGACTAATATTATACCTTTAAAAGTGAAATACTGTGCTTAAAAATTTAAATCGGATCAACCTTGATTCTAAAAATTATTACACAATGGGCGAAGCTATCGTACAAATTACACACCAATATTCTGCCGATTTGAAAACTTCCTCGTTTTATAAAGTCGATTTTAGTTATTAAATTGTTTAGGAGTACTCCTGATACTTCACCATCAGTTCTACTTTACCATAATTATGCCACGTGGCATTTAGCATAAATTGTTTAGAACAACATAATAATAAATTAAAAGTCATCAAGCCGCGTAATATGTTTTTCAGGTTGCGTCGTTGCGACTTATAATTGGGCAGCTATGCGGTTTTTATTATCTGTTTTACCAAATGCTGGTTTTTAGGTGTAAATACAAGAGTTACTTATTATAAAAATACTTAAATTGCTATAAGAGTGCCTATAATATGACCCACATCATAGTCATATTGACGAGAATTTTTAATTAAACAGATTTTTGATAATCGGATTAGCCGTCTTCGAGTATCGGGGAACACACTTAAAAATGTTTCCGACGAACTGAGAAATTAAGAAAATTAGGCGTTTTATGTTGAAGACTCATAACTCAAAGTAAATATATACAATATGTATATTATTACTATAGACATTAACTAGCGTCTAGATAAAACCGCAAAGGAATAGTGCGAGCGTTTAAAAGCTACGCAAACTTAGTATTTATCAAAGGAAAACTAGTAGCAACACAATTACACGGTTTGTGCTTCTACAGCAGGATTTCTTTACACCGTTGTTTAAAGTAAATATTGAACGCAAAATACACTTGAACTAACCGTGTTAATATAACATTGTGTGTTGACTTCTAAGTGTTCGGTTTGTTATGTTATTATGGTACTACAGTCTGAAATGTAATTCAAGATCAAAATAGAAACACTATTATCAAAAATTGAAAGCATCAGAGTGGCTTTCAGTTGCATTGTAGAACTCTCTACTAAATAATAGAATAAGAGATAGAAAATAATATTTTTAAGCATTCTAGATTTCTTTAGTTTATGGTTACGAAAATGTTTTTGAGAAAGTGTTACGGACCGTAGAATGTTGCGTTTTAACGATCAGCTGAAGGCCAAATCTCGTAATAAAAGTTCGGTCAAAATTCAGATCTACTCTCGATCTCGCAACTGTCGTAAAAGGTATGTTTGTGATAAAATAGTAAAGTATAATTTTACTTAGATTAGCAAATTACCGAATCAATGTTCCGGCACAATACGATATATTCACATTACAGTCAACGTTGGATGTTTAATACTTTATGCCGAAAATATTTTTATGAGAGTTGTGAGCTCGAGAGTTGATCGAAACTGAATTTTGACCGAAATTTTATTAGGAGAATTGGTCTTCTGGTTTGCCCAAATAGCTCTTTAATTTTTTTATCTTTTCTCTCGCTTTCCTACAATCCACGAAGAATGATTTCGTAGAAAATACAGGAAGCCAGGGAAATGTGCGCTATTTAATTTGATCTAAGGTCTGGAGATAGTCTTGAGATGGTTGGTCAGATGTTAGATGTCGGCGTCAATGGGTTACTGTAACGCTCACTCACAGTTGCGTTTTTCTTCTTGAAATTTAAATATTCAATAAATAGGGTTAACCACATTTTTTTTTAAACTGTGAAAGTTAATTAAACGCTTGACCTTTCAGTTGTTGTAGTTAAATCGATCGATCGATGTTAAAATGATGAATAGATGTTCGATGACGGTACGGACCGGAAATCGGACGTAGTACGATGGACCAATTCCTGTAGTCGTTATAGACGACCGGATATGAGTCGCCTTGCGGACAAGTGGTTACGAAATATTTTAAAGCTAGAGATAGCCCGGTGGCCGAATTTCAACTATTAGCTATGTCGTTTAAATATATATATACATTTTTTTAAAATAATTATGTCTCATTTCAGTGACCAGAGTAATTGAAATTGTCGTTCTGAAAACTATCCGTACCACGATAGGTCAACAAATATACTAGGCCTACATACTGGTTTATACATTTTAGCTTCTTATATTGTTGTATATCTTATATTTTTGACCCATATATAATGGGGCACGTAGAATTTTCTTGGCGTATTAAAATATAGATGATTTTGTAGAGGAACTTTCTCTAGACAGAAATAGATTTGGGATGAAAGTGACGAAATCGGCTCTCAACTCAGTTAATAGTTTTACTGTTGTGTTTAACGTAGCTCCAGTATAGGTATTATTGTAGGTTTTTGCGGCAGGCAAATGTGCAGACGGGTCACCTGATGGAAAGCGACTATCGCCGCCCATGAACGTCCGCAATTCAGTAGTCACAAGCGCGTTGATGGCCTATGAGGAAGAAGTACGCTCTTTTCTTAAACATTTAAAGGTCGGTAGGTGTTAATATGTTTTAAGATGATTGACGGGTAAAATGTGCTATGTTCACAGCACTTTGATCCTAGTAAAAATCATTCGAGCATGTACTTATTATAAGTATAGCAATGTTTTAGTTTTAGCAATTAAATTGAATTAGGCTCCGCTTAACCAATTTGATGAGCTCGCTATAATTTTAGTCATTCTCATTACCGATGAAAAATCACGGACTTCTAAGACATTTTTATTTTTTAAACAGGATTTTGGTAGGCTGAGGATTGTAGCGAGATGCGTCTTGTATTAGCTAAATCCCAACGGATGTTATCAATAGGCAACATACAAAGTTTTAAGAAAGGTCTTCATCCTCATATGGTAGGTGCGAATGAGTCGGTCCGAACGAGGGAGTCCAAGGGTTTCATTTTTGTTCCAACATTTAAGGTTTTTTTTATAATATGAGCCTGATGGTCAGATACTCCACGCGCACCAAGATCAGTTCAGTAATGATCAAGGACCTGGTAAACTAACAGATTTGATTTGAAGTGCATCCTAGTTGTATTTAAATTTATAGTAACTGACTAAGGGTTTCCTTTTAAGGAAGTAAGACGGGTTTGAATCAAATGACATTTATTCCGAATTTTCAAGACGCATAAATTCATTTTTATCGAATTACCTAAGTGTGTTACCTGTTGGATAATGATCTTCAATAATTTTTAAATCATACAATTTCTTGACAGGCATTTACAGCCGGAGGTACCAGTAACTTGTTTCAAAAGAGCTTTTGTTTTTTTTATTACTCGGAGGAAGAAGTCGGCGCCCGCGCCGTGCATTGGCGCCTTTCTTCGGCGAGAGAGATAGCTATATGTATTTATGTTCGAAGTTAAAAAGAGACAAAGTAATAGCATTCCGCGTCACAAACAGACAAACCAAATGGATCCAGTTTGCTGGTTATACGCCGGCTGTTTGGGTGTGCGCTTCTTTTGTGTAGTTTTTGACAGTGATGTAAACAATAAAACTTTATTTTTTCAGTGGATCAATATATTCTTGCAACACTAGTGTTTATTAAAGTATGTGTTGAAGTTGTTTATACAAGATTATAAGAGGGTTCCGGCAGGATTCTCGTATGAAAAGGTAAGAATAACTAAGAATGCAACCGATTCCCTCTCGCGTCCCTCTCGGAGGAATGTAATGCACCTCGCCTTGCCCCGGCGCACCTTGCGACTCTGTCGAATTTACTGTCTGATTGATACAATTACCGACATTTTATTGAGCGTAACATTAGGTATACATCGTCGAGATATAAGATAACGTGTGTGTAGAAGGGGAATTCATTATGGAGAGATATTATTCTGATCGTGGGGTTGTTTTTGTAAACACATATTTTATTCATATTTTTAGGAAGCCATGTGCGCGAGCTCCTTAATTGCTGCCATACAAAAAACTACGGTAATTAATTTTGATGGACATCTATAATTATTTTGATCGTATGATTAAAAAGGGTGTAGTGAGGTTTCAAGACATTGTTTTATTTAATATATATGTAGTTATTTAAATTGTAGTCGTAAACAGTCTTCCGCGTATAATCAAAACATTATTATGCACAAGGTGAAGGGTCAAGATAGCCAAAATAGTGCACGCTTATCGCTCAATTTCCCGTGAATTTAGAATGCCTACAGTCAATTTGTTACCAAATTATTAATTCTATAAATACCATAGAGTAATTTGCAAACTTGCGCATTCCATCTCCACAATGTGCAAATATTACTAATGAACTGGAATTGTTGCGATTATTAGTTATTTATTACTTCCATTATGTACCTTCGAATTGTCTGACGTTTTGATCAGGTTGCACTGGCCGTATTGTTAATGTTTATTGGTCCAGTACTTAAAATAAAAAAAAATGCTTAATGTGATAGATTTTGATTCAGTTTTTGAAATAAGAGTTCAAAATAACATAGTCTTTTTTAATAAAAATAGGTAGAATAAACAGAAGGAAACAAACCGTCTGGCCAGCTTGGTATAGTATGCCAAAACCTCCTTTTTAAGGCTCTCCTTAGAAAGGACGTTTAGCCTTTGCTGTTGATGATTATGATGATGAAGTAGGTACCTAATAAATAGCTTAAACTTTTTCTTCATTATTATTTTTTGACATACATACAATATTCTCTTAACGATGACGATATAAGTCTTCTTGGAACGTATATTAAAAATATATAATTACGAAGAACCTGGTCATTCTATAAAGACAAAAAACGCTTGCGTACTTTTAGAAGTTAAATTGTAAAGTTTTTTTATCTAATGTTCTATGAATCCCATGTGACAGAACTAAGGAGGGTTTAAGTTGACATGTGTCAATGACAAGTTTCCAACCGTCATCGATAGTTCTGTGACAACGTATCTAAAAAATATCGCTTCTTTAATTTATCGTCTAATTAATAATGGACAAAAAGATAAAATAGTGAGGGTTTTCTATACTTTTTCAGCCACCAGACGGCGCTTCATATGCGTCAGGTCCAAACAGGTCCAAACAGAAATTCTATGAATTTGGAAGTGTTATTGAGTTTATTATGGATTACGGCTAGATAAAGGTTGCCGAACTGAAGATTGAGCTCAAAAAGAGAGGCGCAAAAGTCACTGATACTAAAGAAATTATGCCCTCCTGTATTATTTGCACACATAGGCACTGCACAACACTGTGGCATTTTAAAAAACAATATTCCTTTTGTAACGTTTTTAAGAATAAATAAACCAAAAAAAATGATCGAAAAATACAAATCGTGTATGTGTTTTGACAGGTGGTTGGACCTGACGCTACAGTACTGCCATCTCACGTGGAACATTTAAGAAAACCCTCATTAAAAACCAATTTCTTCTCTGTTTGTCCACCGATGTGTTTTGTTTAGTCTTTTCTTTGGTAGACTTAGACGATATCAATTATTTTTAGTATTATTTAATGTTCGAATTTCGATCTTTTGGCATCAACTAGCCTAAATGTACAGTTTATGTTAATTGCTGATTTTATTAGGTATGCGTAAACAGTAAATATTTAGACTGCTGATGTGCGGTAACGATCTAACGCTTCTCGAACCACCAATGTTGTTGAATGATGTATACTTAAGTACTTAAATGTACACAAATACGTAATTGCATGTTCTAAGTGTAAATTTTATTAAATGAGTATTTGACATCCCCTTCATGATATTTACAGAAGTAAATTAACCCTCTGGGCTTTTATTTCGAAAGATGACTTAGGTACATTGTGTCTGAAAAAAATACGGTTTACAGCAGAACAACAGACTTTTATTACGGTAGATATACAACTTTTTAAACGTCGTATGGTATTACAAATGTATAGTATGGCATAATTTCTAAAAAAAAACCTAAATAAAACACTAAAAGTCATTCTTTTACTAAAGTAATTGTTTGTTTGTTAATTAATCTCAAATGAAAAAGTTATTAGTTAAACAGTCTCTATTCTTATAAATTTAACAAGTCAAAAAAGCAGAATTAATCCATAGATCTAAAAAATTACGTCTACATGCTGGTTATGTACACCTCTCGCTGACTCACCATGATTGGTTAGAAGCGGCCGGCATTTACTGTCGATCTGTAAAAGATCATGTCTATCTTTTGATGACCTTGACCTTATAAATTAGTATGATGTACATATGTATAGGTATATAATATGCAAAAAGAATTATCGAAGCTTTAAAGATCTATTTGTTTAATGAATGCTTGTACTACTACATTTTATTGAAAAGTTGTAGTGACTTGTGGGACAGTTTTTTTTTTAGGAATAAATAAGATTTAGGGTGACTATTACATTTACGGCTAATGTCAACAATTTCAACCTTTACTGCAGCGTAAATAATAATACTTACAAGTCTTTTTTCTCTCTGATTGTGAAAACTAGACGATGCCTCAGTGTTCGCAGATTTTGCCATAAGTAGGTGTAATGTGATGACCAGGACTGCTTCGTAAGAAGTTGCACATTGCTGATGTGACTATAACTTTTACTATATGGGGATCCCACATAGTAAAAGTACAGTCAGCGTTAAATATTGTTAAACATAAACAGTGTTCATTTTAAATTACTCACGTTATAAAATTGATTATAATAAACCCATTCCCAGACTCCGTTTCTTGTCTTCCTGTCTATAATTAGATGATATCTATTCAGTACCGAGTGGCTTAACTCTCATTTGAGATGAAATCCATACGGCATTAATTCCCGGATATCACGCAGAAGGTAATTATTAACAGCTCATTACTTGGTCATTTCAAATTGAAAGGCGGAGAAGTTATTCCATTAGGTCAAAGAACTTTAAAAACTAAAATGACATAAAAGCTTTGAATACACCTGGTGAAGATGACATTATCGTATAATCTTGAACGCGTTTAAAGCAAGTTTATTTAAACATTCTCATGTAGTAACAGGTATCAATCTGGACTTGATGGATGGGTCTTGGAATTTGATTGGATATGATTAATAATACAGAAGTTTGTCTTACAAAAACAGTGATTGGTGGTTGATACTCTGTGCTGGTTGTTGTAAAGCAAGATTGATTTATGTTAGAAATTAGTTAGAAGGTTATGTTAGAGACTGTTGAATAAATTTATGTTCAAAGTCCTACTTCCAATAATTACGCGTAGGAGGTTCTCCAGAGTGATTTAAAACAAATGTAGAAAATCTATTAAGTTTTCTAATCTCTCCAGTTACCTAAATAGTCCTTCAGACTTTTAGGCCCGTATTTTAAAAGGTGTCTCAGTCGTGAATCTAGTCTTAAAACTAATTTTAAGTAGAGATTTTATTATTGAACATCACTTAAAACGAGATTCGACACTCCATACTCAAGTGAGTGATAGCTTATTTTAGAACGATGTTTATGTCGAAATCATTACTCAGGTATAGATTTTGACAGCTGTGATCTTTGTTTACGTGAGATAAGCTGAAACTAGTCTCAAGCGGTGATTTCTAGAGCATTTAGGGGAAATGAATGTGTTTTACGATGATTTATTTTTGAATAATTACGAAAGATTTACTTTACTTTATTTACGAAAGAATTACTTGGCATACTAACATCAATTTCACTTTCATTTACCTTAATTGATATGAAATTCACCAAAATTCACATTTTACACACACAATACCAGTTTGAATTACCACAACCTTTTCGTTTATGTTAAAAGTATAGTAATTTAAATTTTAGAAATTTCAAAACAAAATATCGTTTGACATTTCAACATGACAAGTGTTGATAAATAACTTGAACGTTCCGTTATAGCCTATTCATACAGCTAGTCATTTTTATTTTAATATTTATTATACTTAATTTTGAACGAACAACAAGCTTGTTAATATGTTAACATTGCTACACTAGGCAATAGTATATTATATACAAATTCACAGAAATTATTTTTGTAAAAGAAAATAATTTTTTTAATAATTAGCTGCGTAATGTGGAATAATAGTTCATCCTCTTTGAACCCTAACACTACATTTTTCTCCAGATCTAACCAAGTTGCCATTGTTGTGAAGCAGTTGGCCAATTAAGCGATTACAGTTAATTATGTGTTCACCTTTGGGTTTGTGATCGTGTATTAACACCTGGATACCAGCACACAATAAATTGAATTCTGAAGTAACACGGGATATGAAATTTGGCACAGATATACAACATGTATGCCAAATTTCACCTTAATAAATAAATATCCTCTCTGTACTATATAATAACTAGCCTAAGTAATCCAGCGCCGGCTAGCTTACTTTATTGTGTGATTAACGAAGATTAGTTTTTATTCCTTATTAAACATTACATCCTAATGAAGGTACTTCCAATCTTTGTAATCACGTTTCACAAAATAAATTAATGGTAAAGTACAGAGACAGTCTGACAGGCTTGCTTTTTACTAGGAAAGAAGTTGGCCGTCACATTCGTTTAAAGTTTGCAGAACTTTAGAAAAACGTCACAGAACACTCTCGGAAACTTCTTCACCAAGTTTTCCTAAACATTTAAAGCAAATGATTTATTAATCAAATACGTCTACTACAAAGCAGTCCATTGCATTCAGGGAAGTAATGGTGTATAATATAGAAAGGAGTGAAAGGACCAACTGCAGTTGACAAGAAT